TGATGCTGCTTGGCCTGCTGTGTTCATCCAACTCTACACCTTGTTATCTCAGATTCTCCAGCATCTGCAGTTCCTACTATCTCTGTTTATTTGTTAGTTTTATTTGCAACTCTATCCAACAGATTTAGCTCCTGTACAAATTCCAACTTGTCCAAAACAATCACTATCATCCTCACTCATTATCCCATTCTCGGCAAACCACCAGAGAACTTCCTTTTCTCATGCAATTTATTTATTGGTGAAATGTCAATGTTTCTGGAAAGGTCTGTATTTATTGACCATCCCATCTGCTGTTGGAAGATAATGGTGAGCCACCTTCTTGAGCTTCCATATGTGGTAGGGAGGAAGTTCCAGGATTTTAGTTTGGCAATATCGAAAGAAGGTGATGTAGTTCCAGAGCCAGGAAGGGTGTATGACTTCAAGGGAAACTTGCAGGCAATGGTGTTCCTAGGCATTTATTTTCTGCCTTGTCATTCTAGATGAGAGAGGTCACACGTTTGGAAGGTGCTCTGGAAGGAGCCTTAGAAGGTTATTCCAGTTGATAGAATCAGCATGGATAGAATCCCTTTTGCCCATTATGTCTCGACCGGTCATCAAGCATCTATCTGCCACAAACAACCCATTTTCAGCCATTAATGGACCCCTTTAGCAGCTATTGATTCTTCCAGGCTGACCTTTACCTATCCCTTTCTCTGCTCAATTGTTTTTCTCCTTCCTTGGGCTCCAACTCCACCTACCATTTACTTCTCCCCTTCTCCCCACCCATCATCTTCAGCATATTTATCAACCTTTTCCTTGCTAAAATAAGTCCTGAAAAGGGTCACTGGACCAAAATGTTAACTGTGTTTTCTCTCTACAGATGCTGCCAGACCTGCTGAGTATTTCCAGCAATTTCTGTTTTTGTATTCCATTTCCCAGCATTTGGCCCATAGCCTTGTAATTTATTGTGTTTCAATTGTTTATCTAAATTATTCTTAAAGATCGTGAGGATGCCCATCTCTGCCATCCTTTCAGGCAATGAGTACCAGATAACTCCCACTCTCTGGATGATAATATTTTTCTAAAAGTTCCCACTAAACTTCCTGCCACTTATCTTTCTGTTCCCCTCATAATTTTGCATGCACAAATCAGGTTTTCTCACAGACTTCTTTGGTCTAAGAGAAACAACACCAGCCAATCTAGTATCTCTTTGCAGCTGAAAAACTGCAGGCAGCATCCTAGTGAATCTCCTCTGCACCCTCAACCTTGTAAATATTTTCTGTAGCTCCTCCAGCACTTTTTGTTACAGTTCTTCTAAGTATGATTGAACCAACATTCAATATAAAATTCTTATCTTTCAAACAATATGTGATCTCCCAATTTTTCTCACCAAAATCACAATGATCTGTGGTGAAATTCATTTCAAAATTTTATGCTCTTAAGATATTATTGTCTTCCTCTGATTTGCTGCAGTCTTGACTAGTTTTAACTAGCCTCTCCCTCCCCAAATTATTAATTGTGTTTTTGAATACAGACTAATTATTAATTTAAGCTGTTAACCAAAATAGCCCAGTACTGATTCTTTGGGGACTCTCTACTTTTAGCCACCTTTGAATTGCTACCTTTGATCCCATTCTGTGACTTATCCCGATTCTGCATGTTCTGACTTTCGTCGATTGTGTGGCACGTTTTCAAAAGCCTTTTAGAAAACTTGATGAATTACATATCCTACATCACCCTTTTCTGCTACTTCTTTAAAGAATACAATGAGGTTGTTAAAGCCAGACTTTTACCTTTAAAGTCTACCCAGAATAATCATTATATTTTTTAGTTGCTAGATTTTTTTCCTAATTTTTTTCTTTAGCAAGAATTCCATTATTTTCCTAACAGTGCTGTTAAACTGATTAGGCTAGTTTCTATCCCCTTCCTTCAATATAGATGTAATTTTGGTTATTCTCCAGTCCTTTTTCTAACAAATTAATGCATAAATATGGATGATAGTGCTCCTGCTATTTCTTTTTCGTACAATCTATATGGACTAGGGATTTTATCTTTACAATCTGATTGGTTTGTTTAAAATTTCTGCTCCCTTATTAAAAATGTGTTCATTGCTTCAATTAATGTTTTAACCCAACACTGTTCCCTGTACATTGAGATGCCAGTCTGGAGCATCTCAAGCTAGGGTTAGGGCTACATTCACTGGCCTCAGGGGCTTGACCCTTATCACTGAGTAAGTTCTTCAGCTCCTTTAGTACTGTGAGACACGGTGAGTTCTCAAGTACAGCTCTCTAATGTTGTGTTGAAGGCTTCTCTCTTCAGATCCTAATTCTAGACTGGTGTCTTTTGTCTGACAGATGTCAGATTTGTGTGATCAGTTACATCAACATAATTGACATTAATCTCATTTACACCATACCTAAATCATCATAATCTCAACTCTTGATGATCATACCCACCTGAATTGTCTCCCTGGTAAATACTGAACCAAAATAATTACTGAACAATTCTCTTCTCTTTTACTTTAAATGTGCAAGAACCAGAGGTCATGGATTTGCAAAATGGTTTGCAAAAGGAGCAAATGCAAAGTGAGAAAAAGTCTTTTCACACAGTTGCTAGGGAAAGAAGTGTGGTAGAGACAGGTTCAGTTGGAGGAATTCAACAGAGTATTGCATGATCATTTGGATAAAAACGATGTGCAAAGAGATGGGAGATAAAATTGGGAAATTGGTAGTAGGTAATGATGCTCATTTGAAGAGCTGGTGAAGATACAATGGCCCAAATTGCCTCCTTCTGCACCATAACACATCTGTGATTCTGAGATTCTTCTGGTCAATTAATCTTCAGGTTGTTGAAATCCCCTATGATTACAATTCAACATTTTCACTTATTTTACAACTGTGTTTGCATATTTCTTCCTCCACCCTCATTCTCCAATGTGGTGGATGGTAGACTGCCTCTAACAATATAACTTATCCTTTATTACCTCTATACTATCCACATGGATTCTATTTCTGCCTTACTAATGACTGTCAGTTTTTGCTGTTGCAATTATGTTATGTTACAGCCTTTTCACCTCACTTATTCCATTCGCCATCCTTTCTAAATGTGTTATCTCTGCAATGTTCTGACTTTTCTGCAGCGATGTCATTGATCATGTCAACTCTTAATAATCCTGACTCCTCAGAGTACAATGGTCTTTCCATCATTTATTATAGTGTGTATTATGAGACAGTTTACTACAGTTACAAACATCATACATAGCTGGATAAAAAAAAATTACTATATTGGCTCTAGAATCACAAGGTTTGTATGTGGGGTCACTCTTAGCTTAGATATAACTCATTTAGGATTTAGGAACAGAAAGAACAATATCAAAATTGGACAAATAGTCATGAAAATAGGAAATGCAAGGGAAACTATTCCAAGGAAGAATCATATCGTACTGGAAACATTAAATTATTTCTTGCTGTGCAGATGCTGCTAGCCCTGCTGGGTTTTTCTAGCAATTTCTATTTTTATCTCAAATCTCCAGCACCTGCTGTACTTTGCTTTTATTGCATATGTAGACAATAGAAGCAGTTCAATTGACAAGTGTGAGGCAATATATTTTGGAAACAGAACTAGGTAAAAGATGAACACATTTTCTGCCTAGAATTTAAATGCAGTGGAGTATTTGAAGGGTTTTATGTTTTGATGCTCTGGTATCAAAGGATACAACACAAGAAGTTAGGGCTTGATAAAGGAAAATGGAAAATTTACACTGAACATTATGCCGGGGGAAGTGTCTCCATGCCAGCAAAGTCACCTTCACTTGGCTAGTTAACTCTCCAGCTATTTAACGGTCATATAACTTTTAGTAGGTTGCGGTGGGACTTCTGGTCCCTAGCAAAAGCAATCTTGCCAATCAAATGGTCTGCAAGTCTCTTGTCCCAGCAGCAACACTGAGGGCACTATCCCAATACTGGGACAACAACAGTTCTTGAGGAAGGTTTTCAACACCGCAGTTCAGACTAATCCTGGGGGAGATTAATCCTGGTCTCCCATGGAGCTAGGGTGGCAGGCCCTGGTGAGGGAAGGGAGGAGGTTACAGAGTAGAGAGTGAAAATTAAAGGAGGAAAGAACGCTGTGGAGGTACTGGGAGGGGCAGGGGGGTGGTTTGAGTTCACATCTTTAAAGGGGGGTATCTGATCTGCACAAAGATGCCTGACTAGAAAGCATACCCCCAAACCTTCTTCAGTCCATCCACCAGGCCTGCAGAACCTGATGGAGATGATACCTGGAGATCTGACATTGGCCTCTCACATCACTGGTGCACCTTGCACAGCCTCAACTGGCCCATGGGCATGCAGGCCACCCAAGATCATGCCCCTGCTGTTCATAAAATACTTGCTTGGCCAAAGGCAAGCAGACAGGCATGGTGCCCAATTTTATGACCCTTCCCCACATGCCAAGCCATACCTTGACACTCCACACCTGCCACCCACCCGGGATGCATAAATTTCAGCCTCTGTGTTTTTGCCAGGTTGCCTACCCTGAAGGAACAAGGAGGTTGTATTTTATGTTGAGGAACATCCTGGATAAATTGGAAGTAATGAGCACACCTTGAGAACCCATTATCAGATGCAGTGCAAAACAGGCAGCAAAGGTTTACTTGGATGATTCAATGATGGAGCGTCCTCCAAAAGTGAGATTTGATGAGTTTTGGTTTTGTTCACTGGTAAGAAGAAGGTAATGGCTGACCTGTTGGAGCTGTTTAAGATCATTAATGGTTATGATTGATGATTCTATCATTCAGCAAAATTGTAACAGGACAGCCAAATGTAGGATCATAAAAGGATTACAAGGATAACTTTGAGAAAATTCACTACAGAAGGGTGATCAGAATGTTGTTGATGTGGAATCCAGAAATTGTTTTCTCATTTGATGTTTTCAAAAGAGAAATGTTATGGGCCAGGGACCATGAGCAGGTCAACAGGATTAGGTGGTGGTTCTTGTGGGGAAAAAGACTGCTGTGAGTTGGATATGCTAAATACAATTTCTTTTTTACCCTATTACATACTGTGGGCCTGTTTTCAAATGGTTGCAGAGTAAGGGCTCAGTGTGGGTGGCATTTAAAAATGTAAACCCTGACTCTGGATCTCAACTCCTCCAGGGCTGTCTTCAATTTTCAAAACACTGGCAGGGGGAAGGAATGGATACACATTCGCCTCCAATTAAGAAGCTACTAAAGTTCATTTAAGATTGACACTGCAACTTTTCGTGGTTATTTCAATGAATCTGAACACTGGTGCACATTAGGCAGACCCATTACAGGGTGACAGAAGATTTTTTTTTAAATTTAAAACCATCAGGGTCTTGAGTAGCCTGCACTAGAAATGAGCAGTACCTTAATTTTGCACAGTTGCCCTCTGTTTCGTTTCCCTAATGGCTGCTGAATTCACCTCCTTTTCAATTACAGCATTTAGAAACATGGTCAAATCAGCAACCCAGTTGAGCCGCACATTTGGGACCAAGAAATAACCAGGTTGTTGTGTTCCAGGTTGTTGAAGGGTCACCTGACCCGAAATATTAACTCTGATTTTTTTCTTCACAGATACTGCCAGACCTACTGAGCTTTTCCAGCAACTTCTGTTTTTGTTGTTGTGTTCCCAACTGTGTTTAGAAAATCCAGACTAAAATTCTACAAATCACCCTTCCCCACTCCCTCCCCCAACACAATATGCAGTGTGCAAATCTGGTATATGTTGAAAACAGCAAAATGAAAGCTTCAAATTACAAAACAACTTACACATTATCATCAGCTAAAGTAACTGAATTCTGTACTTCAATAACTGATCCATCAACTTTCAGGACAATGTGAGTGATCCTTGGTAAGCCATTGACAATGGAACGTCTCATCTGGATGTTGAATTCCTCATAACTACTTAAACATTGGGAAGCGAAGACATAATTGCAGGTTCCAGGAAAATAATAAACGTCACCATCAAAGGTTTTAAAGTGGTAATTTCCCCAGGTACTGCATACACGGAAATTGTGGTTTGGATTGTGACCTATGAAGTGAAAATAGACAATTAAACTTCATGAATGTAATCAGTAAATAAATGCTGTTATGGAAACAGAAAGTGCAGGAGAAACTCAGTAAGTCTGGCAGCATCTGTGGAGAGAGAAACAGAGTAAATGTTTTGAGTCAAGTGTCATACCAGCCTTAAAACATTAACTTTGCTTCTCTCTCCACAGATGTTGCCAGACCGACTGAGTTTCTGAAGCACTTTCTGTTTCTTTTATCTCAGATCTCCAGTATCTGTTGTCTTAAGCTTTTCTTTGAGTGAAGAAATATTGTTTAATTATTAACCTTGATAAATCGTTCTGATCATTTTTTCTTTATGAACCTGATAAATTGCTTTGCGAGAAATACAGAACACAATGTATGAAAGAAGATAAGGTTGACACTGGCTGCTCTATGAAAACATGCTTCATAGGCTGGCTTTTTTTCAAGTTCTGAAGAAATCTAAATACCAGCTCCTCCCTTCAATGGATCATTACCTTCTCAGATCTCATGCAGAACCTCCATTTGTGCTCCATTGCAATTATCCTTCCAGGAACTCCATTTCTAAAATTCTGTCATTGGATGTGGCCATCGCTGGCTGGGACAGCATTATTACCTAGTTTATTTTTGAGTAGATGATGGTGAACAGCCTTCTTGAACTGCTGCAGTCTAAGAGCTGTAGGTAGACTCACAATGCCATTAGGAAGGGAATTCCAAGATTTTGACCCAGTGGCATGGAAGGAACAGTGATATCTTTCCAAGTCAGGATGTTGAGTGGCTCAGAGGGGAACTTGAAGGTGGTGGTATTCCCATGTATCTGCTGCCCTGGTTCTTCTAGATGGTAGTGGTTATAGGTTTGTATGATATTGTCTAAGGTTTGGTGAATTTCTGCAATCCATCTTGTAGATGGTACACAATTTTGCTACTGAGCATCAGTGGAGGAGGGTGTCAATATTTGTGGACGTGATGCCAATCAAGTGGGCTGCTTTGTCCTTGATGGTATTAAGCTTCTTGAGTTTTGCTGGAGCTGCACTCATCCAGACAAGTGAGAGCATTCCACCACACTCCTGAGTTTTGCCTTGTAGGTGGTGGACAGGCTTTGGGGACTCAGTAACTGTGAGTTACTAGTTGCAGGATTCCTATCCTCGCACATGCTCTTGTAGCAACTATATTTATATGGCTAGTCTAGTTCAGTTTCTGGTCATAGGTTACCCCAGAATGTCGCTAATAGGGGATTCAGCAATGTTAATGCCACTGAATGTCAAGGGGGGATTGTTGAATTCTCTCTTAATGGAGATGGCCATTGCCTGGAATTTGTGTGGCACAAATAATACTTCCTATTTGTCAGCCCAAACCTGAATAGTATCCAGGTCTTGCTGCATTTGCACATGGACTGTTTCGGTGCCTAATAAGTCACAAATGCAGAACATCCCCACTTCTGACCTCAAATTGGAAGATTTTTGTGCCTAGGACATTACCTTGAGGAATTCCTACAGAGATGTCCTGGAGCTGATATGACTGACCTCTAACAACCTCAACCATCTTCCTCTGTGTCAGGTATGACTCCAATTAGTGAGGAATTATTCTCCTGAATCTCACTGACTCCAGTTTGCTAGGCCTTCTTGATGCCACAGACGCAGTCAAATGCTGAGTAGGTGCAGGACAATTCCTTTCAGCTGTATACCACTGTGCTGCCATTCTCACGTACCGAGGGATGGCATTGTCTGGGGCATTGGCATGATTCCGTGAGTATTGCTTCACTCATCTGTGGGACAGCTCTCTCAATTTTGGCACTAGCCCACAGATGATAGCATGGAGAACCTCAGAGGGTCACAGTGTTGTTTTTGCTGTTTTCATTTCCAGTGCCTTAGTCAATGCCAGCTGGTCTGACTGGTTTCATTCCTTTCTTAGGAGTCTTTTCTTTACCAGTTAATACAACTCAGTGGCTTGCTAGGTCATTTCAGAGGGCAGTTAAGATAATTGCTGTGGGCCTGGAGTTCCAACTGAATGAGTGTTTTGCACACTGATGACCCAATATACTAAATTATTGTTTCACCTGGAATGAGTGTTTGGGCCCTTGGGTAATGGAAAGCATAGATGCTGCACTTCCTGTATTTGCTGGTGGAAATGGAATATTGGGGGTGACTGAGGAGTTTACAGGTATTAGAGGAAATGGTCCTTTCACAATTCTGAAAGGGGAGCGTAGAGGAAGATGTAGAAGGACGAGGAAGATTTATTTGGTTGTACATTCTGAAAGCAGTGAAAAGAGTGGATCAAAATTTGTCGAATGCAGACATGGTCAAGATGGAAGGTGAGAGCAAGGGGAAGCCTATAATTGTTTTCAGCGTGATGGAAGCAAGTGAAAGCAAATATTTAGGAAATGGAATGAATAAGGTCACGGGCTGTCAACCACAGGGACTGGAAGACAATTTATCCTCCTTTAAGGAAGGATGAAGATATACCTGAGGCACATGTTATGGAACTGATGCAACAAAAATAAGAAAATGGATTAAAGTCCTTCCAAGAAATGAGGCATCAGCCAGTTAAATCAAGATAAGAATCAGTGGACTACTGTAAAGATGCCTCATCCCTCCAGGTACTGAGTCAGGTAAGTCAAGGAAGTGTCAGAGATAGGCGATATGGGGGCAAAAGATGAATGGAAATTGGCTCATAATTACCCAAAACATTTCAGTTCAGTTTGTAAATGTACTCCTGAACTTCTGGTGGCCTGCCATTTTAATTCTTCCCTGTACTCACACCCTGGTCTTTTTGTCATCAGCCTGCCACCCTTTCTAAATGAAAGCTTTGGAGCTCATCTAAGCTCACAGAGTGGAAACTCATTTTCAAACAAAACACTATACAGTCGTGTGGACTCATAACCTCCTGGACATGACATTGAGTTCAAAGGTTTCAGATCATCACCTTTGCCACTTTGTTTTTGGATAGAGATGGTTGATGATGATTTTGTTTTCCCGTTGACATCTGCTTTGGACCCATCTTTTGTTCCCTTACTTGTCTCATTAGCTTCATATTTTGCCTCACATTATCAACTCTTTTGTCATTCCCCCTTTCCCTTTCCTTTGGCTGAAATGATGTTACATCTCCAAGCATTACCAGTTCTGATGAAAGGTCAAATGAACATAAGAAATAGGAACACAAATAATTCATACAGGCCCTCGTGACTATTCAATGATTCAATACTGTCATATCTTTGGCCTCAGCTCAATTTTCCCATATATCCTTTAATCTTCTGAGTGACAAAAAATCTGACTATCTCAATCTTAAATATATCCAATGATGGAGAATTCACATTCCTATTGAATAAAGAATATAAAAGATTCACTACCCTTTGAGTATAAAAATTACTATTCCTCTTAATACAAAATTAAATGTTAACTCTGTTTCTGTCTCAACAGACACTCCCTGACCAAGGTGCAGAATATTTCCAGTATTTTCTGTTTCTATTTCAGATTTCAAAGTTTTTCCAAATTACTTTGCACTTGAACTACTTGATATATCACATCTTCTGCTTTTTTTTTTGAAACTTTACAATGTCCTGACCATGGATGTTAGTCCATTAACTAGATCTCCCAACTGTAAAACAGAATAGTTTTACAACTAAAAGGCAAGTTTATTAATTTGGTTGTCAACTTACTTGTAAAGTACTGAGCTGATGTCAATTCTGGAAATAGCACCACTGTCTTGTCAAGCAAAGGAGGTCCTGTTGTTCCATCTAAAAACAAACACAAAATTACAATTGACTGATGAATTCCACATAAAATATATAACAATGTGAACTATTTCATGTTGCAAAGTTATGGCAAGATGCTTATACATTAGACTGTTGGAATAGTGCTCTGTTAATCAAAGCTATCACTTCTATATTCTTAAAAATTTTGCTATTTGTTGTATGTTAACCAATACCATATGTGTTTGAATTCACTGTCCCCTATTTTACGATAAAACTTTATATCAAACCCCATCAGAATAATCGATGTGGTAAAACCATAGGAATGTAGTAAATCACCCAATTACCTATCACTATAACTTCTACATTATAGCACCGAATGTTAATTTCAGGATTACAAAATTAATGTCAGGGTGTTTCCAGCCCTGATTCAGGTCTGGGGAGAAGCTGTCACAGATCCCATTTCTCACAAGGAGTGGGGGGCTGCTAAATGACTGGTGGGTGGGTTGGCCACAAATTGGCAGTCAAAGGGTGGGGATGAAGGGAGGACTGAGCAAACACGGTTCTGAGGAAGGGGGGGGTCACCGGACCCAAAACGTTAACTCTGTTTTTGCCTTCACAGATGCTGCCAGACCTGCTGAGCTTTTCCAGCAACTTTGTTTTTGTTCCTGAGCAAACATGGGTCTGATTTAAAAATACCAGAGTCACACAATTGCCATAACAATGGCCATCCGTCTAGACAACCCTACTTTGTGCACAACTGGTTCCCCAACATTTTCAGATAGCTGTGTATTTTGTGGTAGATAAGATGGGTCAAGACTTTCATCCCTCTTTGGTGTCCTCTCAGTCCTGGTCCTCTGTTACTGGACCTGAATTATGAGTCGTACTTCTGTGTCAGCCATTGCTTTATTCGTACACAGATTGCTGCCTAGTCATGTCTGGTAGCCTTCCCCTTCCTCTCAAACTCTCACGATGCCAGGAAAGTGACAACCTAAGCAGGTAGTGCTCACTCTCCAACTGCAATCTGTGTGCACCTGATGGCACCCATCTGGGTTGGCCAGTACTGGCCCTTAGTTTGATCAGATTGCACCCATGGAAGCAAAGAGTATTTCCCACTGATGCCCAAAGCAGGGGGCAGGACCTCAGTCAAGAACATTAAATTGAGCCCTGCATCTTCCTTTTGTTGCTAAACGTTATGCTCGACTGCTGATATTTTCAGTGTTCTCATCTTACTCAAAGTTCATTATGAGCTACTGAGGTCCCCATAAGGTGTTGGTCACCTGCAGCTCAGTATTTTATATCAGGAAATTTGGCAAAGTCTGCAGGTTACACATGCCTTCTGGGCGAAACTCAATAAGATAAAATTGTTTTACTATAAGAGTAAACTACAAGACAGTTTTGAGAAGTGACTTATGGAACTTGTAGCACAGATTGTTTGCTATATGGGAGTTCAATATTTCTGGTTTATTTATTCAGTAGGAAAGAAAGATTGATGTGCAAATTTACAAAAGAAAAATATGGACACAATATAGTATATCATCAATTTATTATGCATATTAAAGAAGATAACTGGTGTAAGAGGCAATTTAGGTCCAATTTCCATACGTGATCATATCTTACAGAGAGTCAGCAAAACAGATATTTAGATAACAAAGATTCCCTTGCTGCTAAAATCTGTTCTATATTGAACAAAGCAAGTAATCTTACAATGAACAGAAATATTATAAATGCCTTTGCAAGCTAGCACAAACAGTTGAACAGGTAATAAAACGAAACCTTCAACAAATAACTAAACAAAGAATACAACAATCAGAATTTGGCTCACAGACCTGTCAGCTTTACATCAATAGTGGGAAAACTAATGGAGGCCATAAAATGGGATAAGATTATGTACATATATACACTTAGATGCTAGTCTTAACATCCTGGTCTTATCCATTATGTAAAGCATATTTTATCTGGCTTGTTGGTATTGCATTAAAACAGAAACTACAGAAAGAAAAATAATTCAACTTCTAGTATGCTGTATGTATGATTAGATACAGGATGTCATTTATTCACTCCTGTTTGGTACCGTATCGTAGACATATTTTTATTCTTTCCATGCTACTTTTTCACTTTGTTCTGCAGTTGCTTTAAAACCTTAGCTTCCTGCACATTCCAATAAGGCTTAGTTTTGTGACTGGGTGCATTACAGCTATCTGAACTCAATACCGTATTCAATAATTTTAAGTTGTAACCTCTGCCCTATTTGTTGTTTTTCTCTGTTACTTTGTATTTTTCTCTCCTGCTTCCTGCTTTCTTTTCCTTTGCTTCCAAAAAGCAGCTATTCTTGATCTTTCCTCTCTCAGCTCCTCTAGACACACCTTCAGTTCCTTTGCTTGCCCCATTGCCACTCTTTTTGGCCTTACACCTTGCACTGTGATCTCACATAATCACTCTTCTATCCTCCACTGTATCACAGATCTTTCCTTCTCTTCATCATAGAATCTCTACAGTGTGGGAACAGGCCATTTGGCCCAACAGGTCCACACCAACTCTCTGGACAGCATCCCACCCACACTCACCCTTCTACTTTATCCCTGCAATCCTGCATTTCCCATGGCTAATCCACCTAAATACATATTCCTGGACACTATAGGCAATTTTGCATAGCCAATCCACCTAACCTGCAGGTCTTTGGACTGTGGGAGGAAACCGGAGCACGCAGAGGGAACCCATGCAGACACAGGGAAAACATGCAAACTTCACACAGACAGTCACCTGAGGCTGGAATTGAATTGGGATCCCTGGTGCTGTGAGGAAGCAGTGCTAACTACTGAGCCACCGTGTCACCCCTTCCCTTCTTCTTCCCTTCTTTCACTTGCTCAAATCGATTTCATTTCTAACTTTTTTTAGTTCTGATAAAAGATCACAGATTTACAACATGGTTTTGTTTCTCTCTCCAAAAATACTGCCACACCTGCTGAGTATATCTAACACATTTTGTTTGTATTTCTTGCTTTTAAGCTGTACATCTCTCATTGCTTCTCTTTCTAAGACAGGTCATCA